GTTTCAGAGTCTGTGACTCCCTCTCTCTCTGACCCTCCCCTGCTCACACTGTCTCTCTCTCTCTCTCTCTCCTAGAAATAAATAAAACATTAAAAAAAATTTTTTTTTAATCTATTCTTCTATAGTTAATAGGACTCCTGATTTTTAGTGGGACATAAGCCTCAAAGGCCAAATATCCCAGCTTCTCTTGCAGTTAGAATGTGATCCCGTGACTAACTTTTGGCCAATAGGAGGTGAATGGAAGAGATGTGCGAAACTATGAGGTCATGAGTCCCAAGGGGCGTGCCCTCCATGTTCCCATTTGTCCCTGGCTGGGATGAGACATGGTGGCAAGCCATCTTGAAACATGTGGTCAAAGACAACACCGTGAGAACTCTGGAGCAGCAAGATAAGAAGCCAGGATCCCTCTTACCTTGATTCATACCAGCCTGGGGCTACTTATGACCAGATTGCTATATACTTCCATTTTATTTAAGTCACAGCTATTCTGCGTGCCTATTAGAGAAACCAAAACTTATATTTTAGCTGCTACAGTGGGCCAAGTACTCTTTTCAAAGTATACCTTGGGGCACCTAGGTGGATCAGTTGGGTAAGCATCTTAACTCTTGATTTCAGCTCTCAGGGTCATGAGATCAGGCCCTGTGTCTAGCCCTGGGTTGCGTTCCTCACTGGGTGTGGAGCCTGCTTAAGATTCTTAAGTTTCCTGGGCGCCTGGGTGGCTTAGTCGGTTAAGCGTCCGACTTTCGCTTAGGTCATGATCTCGCGGTTCGTGGGTTTGAGCCCCGCGTTCGAGCCCCGCGTCGGGCTCTGTGCTGACTGCCAGCTCAGAGCCTGGAGCCTGTTTCAGAGTCTGTGTCTCCCTCTCTTTCTGACCCTCCCCTGCTCACGCTGTCTCTCTCTCTCCTAGAAATAAATAAAAATATTAAAAAAAAAAAAAAGGATTCTTAAGTTTCCTCTCCCTCTGCCCTTCCCCCTCCTCACACAAGTGGTGTGCGGGCACACGTGTGCACGCGCACACACACACACTCTCTCTGTGTCTCTCAAAAAAAGTATACCTGACTCCTTCCCTTTTTTCCTCCCTTTCTTTTTAAAGTTTATGTATTTTAAGAGAGAGAAAGAGAGAGAGTGCATCCACATGAATGGGAGAGAGGCAGAGAGAGTGGGGGGAGGGGGAGAGAGAGAGAAAGAGAGACAGAAAGAGAAAAAGAGAGAATCTCAACCAGGTGCCGCACTGTCAGCAAGGAGCCTGACATTAGGTCTCGAACCCATGACCTGAGATCATGACCTGAGCAGAGACCAAGAGTCAAGAAGCTTAACCTACTGTCCCACCCAAGTACCCCTCCTCCCTTTCTTTTCTCTCCCTTTCTTTCTTTCTTTCTTTTTTTTTTTTTTAATTTTCTAAACGTTTATTCATTTTTTTGAGAGACAGAGACAGAGCACAAGTAGGGGAGGGCAGAGAGAGGGAAGGAGACACAGAATCTCCAGGCTCTGAGCTGTCAGCACAGAGCCCGATGCGGGGCTCAAACTCACAAACTGTGAGATCATGACCTGAGCCAAAGTGAGACGCTTAACCGACTGAGCCACCCGGGTGCTCCTCTTTTTTTTTCTTTCCTACCCTTCTTTCCTCCCTCCCTCCCTTCCTCCCTCAAAAGAATTTGAAGAAGCTTATAACTGAGGATGTGTACAATGAGTTTCATGAAATACCAAATATAAAATTAAGCTCATCAGTTTTAATAGAGCTGCTATCATTAAGCATCAGATTTAGCTTCCTGGAAGCCAAGACAAAAACCACGTTAAGATGAATCAGTCTCTTCCTTTGATAACAGAGGAAAGAGCATCTCCCAATTTTCCTGACAGAAAAATCCATAATTTCTCATGCTGGGGAAATTTCTCCACTGGAGTCATATATTCATAATATTCTCCATAAGTTTGACCATGTGGTGATTTCTTTTTTTGATCTGTGGTTTTGTTTTTAATTATCTTAAGCCTTATCACATAATTTAAAAATCTGTGATGATATATCTCCTTTACTTTAACCCCTCTAAAGAGTTGGCAAAAGCACCATTACCAATCATACATATATGGTAAATCCACAGTTGTATTTGTGAATAGCTGTTGAGAAGACAATCTTGAATGATAACTTCGTAAAGAATTCACAAGCCAAATCTGCTTCTATAACCTATCACACTGAATTTTAAAAGCATCTGACCTAACAGATCAACTGTAAAATGTGAGAAGTGTTAATATTCTTTATTTAATTTTATACATAAACCACACTAAAATGCCTTTCATTAAGCAAAAGGCAACATTTAAATGCAGGGAATTTTAATTAAATTGGCATAGTTAAGACTAAAAAGATAAAGTGGACGTTGCCAGCTTATCTTCAGCCCTTGCCTTTAACAGGCTAACAAATACAACTTGAAACACAGCTGATGTCTTGCTGTTCTGATATAATGGATTTCCTCAGTATTTAAATATATTAATATAACCAGTTATATAAATCTAAATATAAAACCAATCTCCTATATAAGTTTAGACATGGCATTTACCATCTCTGAAAAGCTTAACATCTAATCAATTCCAATCATATTTTTTGAAGGGGAAAACAGTGACAGCACTTGCTGAACCAGAATTACTATCAAAGTTCAAAAAGCCAATCATATTCATTTAACCACAAGCCAATCTCATTTAAATCAGAACTGTCCAAAATATTCTATCAGCCATTCATGATCTGAATTCTGGTGTATGAGATCAATTTAAATATGGTACACATAAAAAAGTCGTGAGACATTTTTGTTTTGTAATAAATAAGGCAACAGCCAACTATTACTCGTTAGTAGCTTTTTTGAGATAAGCTATCAAGTCTGCTCTTTCCCCTGCCTTCTTAATGCCAGCGAAGATCATTTTTGTTCCTGGGATGTACTTCTTGGGATTCTCCAAATACTCCATCAGTGTCTCCTCTCCCCAGGTGATGCCTTTGTTCTTGTTGGCATCCGTGTAAGAAAATCCAGGGGCTTGACCCGTTTTTCGCCCAAATAAACCATGGAGATTTGGCCCCGTCTTGTGTTTGCCTCCCTTTTCCATGGTATGGCACTGGGCACACTTCTGAACAAAAATCTTCTTGCCTTTCTCAACATCACCCATTTTTAAATCGCTCTTTGGTCGCGCGCAAAGCGAAGGTGCCCGCTCCCAAGCCGGATGTCCAGCTCTCTCAGTCCGACCATGTGGTGATTTCTTATCACACCTCTGATGAAAGGTCAGGCCATATTGTTACATGACAGCTCTGGGAAGATACCTCTGCAAGATACGAGACTTCTCGCATTTGCTCCTCTCAACAACTCTAGTCAAAGCAGGTAAGGCCATTACTCCGTTTTACAGAGAAGGAAACCAGGATACAGAAAGGGGAAGGGCCAGATCAGATAGCTGATGGGGAACCAGTTTTGTAAGCGACTCTAGGGCCCTATTCTAAGTGTCCCTCTCTGGACCCGGCAGCACCACCACATACAAAATTCTAGATTGAGGGGCGCCTGGGTGGCTCAGTTGGTTAAGCATCCAACTTTGGCTCAGGTCATGATCTTGTGGTTCGTGAGCCTGATCCCCAAATCAGGATCTGCACTGCTGGTGCACAGCCTGCTTGGGATTCTTGCTCTCTCTCTCTCTCTCTCTCTCTGCCTCCCCCTCTCAAAATAAATAAATAAACTTAAAAAATTATAGACTATCAAAGAAAGGCATGAGAATCATTGCCCCAGAATATGCCTGTGTTAGCCAAGACAGATCAGTCAGATCTGGTAAATATTCGAGGGATTCTGAGCCTCCTGAGATGGGCTACTCCTGACTGGATGAGAAAATAGGGACAGGCACCATGAAGGCAGAAAGGAACCCCCAAATTGGGAGCTTGACTGTGGGGCTTCAAGACTGGAAGGAAAAATAATATTTAGAAGCTTCTGTCCCAGGGTAGTTGATAGCTATAAAAGGAGAAAAAAACCTCCTCTCTTTCTGTCTCATTTCTTTTTTCTTTTTCTTATTTTTTAACAAATAGTTTATTGTCAAGTTGGTTTCCATATCTTTCTGTCTCATTTCTTACTGACATCTATAATGCACCAGGTGCTTTCTGGGGATGCAAGTGACAATGAGGAAACTAGCCCGCTGGCTGAAAGTAACTTTTTGTCTCATTCTCAAAATAACTCTACAGGGGCGCCTGGGTGGCTCAGTCGGTTAAGCGTCCGACTTTGGCTCAGGTCATGATCTCACGGTTCGTGGGTTCGAGCCTCGCGTTGGGCTCTGTGCTGACAGCTCAGCTCAGAGCCTGGAGCCTGTTTCAGATTCTGTATCTCCTTCTCCCTCTGACCCTCCCCTTCTCATGCTGTCTCTCTCTCTCAGGAAATAAATAAAACATTTAAAAAAATCAAAATAACCCTTCAAAGTAGGTATACTTATCAGTATGATTATGCCATGTTATAAGTGAAGAAATTGAGGCTCAGAGCCGTGAAATGATTTGTCCAAGGTCCCACAGCTGGGAAGGGTTAGAGACAGAGTTTGAACTCTGGTCTGTTTGATCCCAAAACTTTTGATAATGTGCCATCACTGTTTCAATAGTAGGAGAAAGAAACGTTGATGGACATGACATTTAAATCCATTCTATTTTTTTGTTGCTATTTTTTTTTTTATCTTTTATCTTTTTTAAAAAAGTTTATTTTTGAAAGAGAGGGAGTGCAGCAGGGGAGGGACAGAGAGAGAAGGAGAGAGAGAGAATCCCAAACAGGTTCTGCGCTGATAGTGCAGAGTCCTACAGGGGACTCAGTCCCACAAACCATGAGATCATGACCTAAGCCAAAATCAGCAATCAGACACTTAACCAACTGAGCCATCTAGGCACCCATTTGTTCTTTTTTAAATAAAATTTGAAAAATTGAACACCAAGTTAGTATACACCCACCATCTCCTGGCATACTTTTTTTAAAAAGTGACTTTTTTATTATAAAGTTAATATTACTCAGGGCACCTGGGTGGCTCAGTCAGTTAAGTGTCTGACTCTTGATTGTGGCTCAGGTCATGATCTCATGGTTCATGAGTATTGAGTCCCCACACTGGCAGCATGGAGCCTGCTTGAGATTCTCTCTCTCTCTCTCTCTCTCTCTCTCTCTCAATTTCTCTCTCTCTGCCCCTTCCCCCCCTCAAAATAAATAAATAAACTTTTTTAAAAAGTTAATATTACTCAACAAAGTTTGGAGAATACAGACATGTAGAGAGAACAAAACAAAGTTTGGAGAATACAGACATGTAAAAGGAACAAAACAAAATCAGATGATTTTTTGACCATTGTTAACATTTATGGCCCCACTCTCTGCTATGAATTACATGTATTTTGCATTTCACACTGAAGTTCCCAAACTGCATACCTGCTTGACATTACAAGCATTTTCATCCTTTTATTTCATTTTTTAAGGTAGGCTCCATGCCCAACATAGAGCTTAAACTCACGACCCTGAGATCAGGAGTCGCACACTCTGCTGACTGACCAGCCAGGTGCCTCTGTCTTTTTATTAAGTAAGTTGCAATACCATCCATTTACGAACCGTGAAAGATTACATCCCATAGGCGCACCTTATGTTTTTTAACTGTTCCCTTCTTGGTGATTTCTTCTAAATTTCGCTGTTAGAAAAATATTTCTTCAAGGATTTTGGAGCATATGGCTTTGTCCTAATTTAGGACTATTTCCCTGAAATTAATTCCCAGAAGAGGCATGCCTGGGTCAAAAGGCCTAGACCTTATTTAAGCCTTTGATGCATATTGCCAAATGGCTTTCCAGAAGATTTTAGCAAGTCATTTTCCCACCAGAGATGTGGAAGTATCCATTGCTTACACTGACAATTTCGGTGTCACTAGTTTTTTAAACTTCAAAATTGAAAGGCTATAAATGGCCTTTTACTTTGCACTGCTTCGATTACTTGTGAGGTAGAAAATGTCCCATGTTTATTGTGTCTTATCTGTCTCCACCGACCAGTCACGGGGTCTGTTTGTTATCAATGTTCAGTGTTCTTCACAAAATGGAAATACTAACCCATTGTCTATAAAATATTTCCTCAGTCTGAAGTTTGCCTTTTAATGCTGGGTATGATTTTGGAGTCGAGTAGGCTTTTGTTTGTTTGTTTCCAGCAACAGATGTTAGAGAATGTTTTTCTGAGGGCGGCTGGGTATCTCAGTTACCTCTGCCTCTTGATTTCAGCTCAGGTTGTGATCTCCTGGTTCGTGGATGGAGCCCTGCATTTGGTTCTGTGCTGGCCCATGGAGCCTGTTTGGGATTCTCTCTCTTCCCCTTCCCCACTCACATGCTTGTCCTCACTCTCTCTCTCAAAATAAATAAATAAGCATTAAAAAAAGAAAACAGTCTTTTTAAAAAAAATGTTTTTCTGTTTTGCAAAGAACCCTGTACATCTTTTCCATAGGAATTCTTAATTCCTAATTAAGAATTCTTAAGTCTTAGAATTAAGATTAGAGAAAATGGCCCCTCCGATGGCTTATTTTCTGTGTGTGAGAACTGACGGACATGTCTAAGCTGTCTGGTCATCTTTTTTAATAACAAAGGAGAGAAGAGGAGTATTACCTTTTTTTCTTCATCTATTTGACTGTCCCTGACTTTTGTTTTAGTACCATGAAGTATGCTCATTGGGGGTGGGGGCTGTAGGAGGAAATGTGTATATAGATCTATGCCTCCCCCAAAGTCTGGAGGAATACATACCCAGAAATACCAATACTAGTTATTTCTGATTGACGGGAGCAGGCCTGGGATAGATGTGTTATTCATGCGTGCCCAGCACCTGCATTTCCTTTCAGCAAGATACTCTTCTTCATCCCTTGACTCTGGTGTGGCTGCCCATGACAGTACATTTGCCCCATAGAGCACTTCATTTCCCTGGCAATAGTTTGTCTGGGGCCAAGGGGTAGGCATGTTACTCTAGCAGAATTCATCAGAGTCCTGGGGCGCCTGGGTGGCTTAGTCGGTTAAGCATCCGAGTTTCGCTTAGGTCATGATCTCGCGGTTCGTGGGTTCGAGCCCCGCGTCGGGCTTCGTGCTGACTGCCGGCTCAGAGCCTGGAGCCTGTTTCAGTCTGTGACTCCCTCTCTCTCTGACCCTCCCCTGCTCGCGCTGTCTCTCTCTCTCTCTCTCTCCTAGAAATAAATTAAAAAAAACATTAAAAAAATTAAAAAAAAAAAAAAAAGAATTCATCAGAGTCCTTCCCTGAGACTGATATATGAAAACTGGGTAGAGATCTCGTGCTGGGTGGCATAGGAAAGCTGCGGCTACCTCACACCATGTTTCCTGCCAGGTAGAGAGCTCGCTCGGCAGAGGAAGGGAAGCCAACGTGCAGAGAAATCAAGACGAGGAGAGACACAAGAGAAAATCCTATGAGTCCCGTGTCTCCAGTTTCAGTCACCAAGACCCTGATCCATGGTGTTTTCCCTTCAATCTTAAGTCAGCTACTGTGAGCCACAAGCCCCTCTTTGGTGAAGCTGGCTTATAGGTTAGGATTGTTACTTGGCAAGGGAAGGAATCTGATCGGTGACAAGGATGGTCTTTGTGTGTTTTTAGTACCTTATGTAATTATTTTTTTAGTAGGCATAGTTTGTTTTTTAAAGACAGAGAATGCATTTGTTTTTTTTTTGTTTGTTTTTGTTTTTGTTTTTAATGTTTTATTTATTTCTGAGAGAGAAAGAGAGAGACAGTGTGAGCAGGGGAGGGTCAGAGAGAGAGGGAGTCACAGACTGAAACAGGCTCCAGGCTCTGAGCTGGCAGTCAGCACAGAGCCCGATGCGGGGCTTGAACCCACGAACCGCGAGATCATGACCTAAGCGAAAGTCGGATGCTTAACCGACTAAGCCATCCAGGCGCCCCGAGAATGCATTTGTTAAAAAAGGAAAGCGTAAGTGCCCTCAGACATGCTCAAAAGCAGGCAACATGTGAAACAGCGCATGAAAGGTGTACGTCTCGGAAGGACAGAGGCCACCTTATCACCTCAGGAATGTTGTCACTGAGATAAACAGAAATTTGTGGTGGAATAATTCTAGACGAATGGGTGTACTGTAGGGGTAGGGGAGAGTAGAGGCTCAGCCTTGGGTAGGAGATGGGTTTTCCCACGGACTAGGAAGTCTGAGATACAGAGATTCAGGAGAATCCAATTGCCCTTTCGTCCCCTGCCCCTGGACAATCAGGTCCCTTCTCTGAGCTTCAGTTTACACTAAGTCCAGCTTTCACATCTGAACCCGTATGGCGCTCCAGGCATTTCACATTCATTATCTCACAGAATTCTGAGTTGGTCACCATATTCCCATATTCCAGATGAAAAAACTGAGGCTCAGAGAGGTGGAGTGTGCCTTAGATGAGTTAAGTCCTTTTTTGTTGTTGTTGTTTATTTATTTTGAGAGAGAGAGAGAGAGAGGCAGAGGGGCATAGAGAGAGAGGGAGAGAGAGAATCCCAATTGACTGGGGATTGATCACATTAATCAATGTGATCCCAATAATCAATGTGATCCCAATCCCGGTTGACTGGGGATTGATCTCATTAACTCTGAGATCATGATCTGAGCATTAATCAAGAGTCAGACACTTATCCGGACTGAGCCACCCAGGGGCCCCCGGATAAGTCAGTCTTTAAAGCCTTTCTAGGAACCTCAGCCATCATCCTCTCTCATCTATAAAATGGGCATAACACATCGACCACCCGTGATCCAGTCCCAGGGAAAAGAGAAGTAAAAGCCAGTTGAATTTGTGTTGGGGTCAGGCTTGTCCTCTCCCCAAGTCTCGCTGGAAAATGCAGAACTTTGGGGCAGTGGGAGGTGATGGGGGAGGGGTGGGGGACGAAGCACGCACCTCCTCCGACTCGCCCCGTCCGGCCCCGCCCACGCTTCCTTTGAGTTGCTCCCTCCCTCCCCCGGCGCCAAATTTCTTCCCAAGGAAAGCATTGCGCAAGAGACCTTGGTCAGGTTCCTTGGCCCCCCGCCCGCCGTCCCAGGAGCAGTTTGTGCTCCATCCCCCACTCGGAACCTGGCACCCAGCCATCAGCCTCTGGCACCCGGCCAGTCACGTGGCACTTTGGTCTTCTTTGGCTTGCGTCCTCCGGGATCCAGATTTAACCCCCCTCCTCCCTTCCCCTCCCGGTGCCAGTCCCTCAGGGCTCCACACCTATTTTAAGGGGCAGGTGCAGGGGACGGGATGTAAACCTCGGCCTCCCGCCTCCCGGAGGGACCCCAAGTCTGTTTTCCCGCCTGTCACCTGGGGCCCCCACCCTACGACTGTCTCTATTCTCTTCACTGCCTACTCTTGCTTTCCCCTTTCTCCACGCCTCCAGCCACCCCGCCCCACCCACCCCTGCATCAGTCTCCTTAGCCCTTTTGAGGGCCTAATTCCCTTCTGGGCACTTGGGGCAAGGGGGACGGTGTGAGGGAAGGGGAGACAGGACCCAAGATCCCCAAGGGAGCTCCCAGGACTTGCCTGAAACTCCACAAGGCGACAGGGTGGAACTGGCCACTCTGGCATCACACAGACCTGGATTCGAATGCAATTTTGCCTCTGACCAACTGCTGATTTTGAACCCTTCATCTCTCGGGGCCTCAGTTGTCCCCTCTGTGAAATGGGGGCCCTACGGAGAGGAAGGGAGGGAAGCATCGAGAAGAGGATCTAACCTGGACTAAGGGGGCTTCCTCCTCGACCGCCGCGCCCCTTCCCCAGCCCGGGAGCGCAGCGGGGCCTCGCCGTCCCGCGTCCCTCCGCCGCAGGCTCCTCCTCCACTGACATCAGAGCCGCAGGCGGGCGGAGGCAGCCGCCGGAGCCTGAGCCGAGCCTCCGCGAGAGAGCGGGCGGCGGGCGCGGAGCGGCGGCGGCGGCGGACAGCAGCCGGCGGCCCGAGCTCAGCGCCAGCCACTTCGGGCCTCCCAGCCAGCCCCGCGGCGGGGCAGCCGCAGGTACCGCCGGGCGCCGGCCGCCTGTGCTCGCGGGCGCCGAGGAGCGAGGGGGCGGGGGGGGGGGCAGCCGCTGGAACGTGTCCCCCAAGGAGGGCATAGGTGCCCGAGCGGGCTAGACTCTGGATGGGCAGGGCAGGGCAGGGCAGGGCCTTTCTCTCCAGACTCTGTCCCCAGGCCCAGCAGGTGCCAGGCGGCCGGTGGGGAACTGAGTGGGTGATAGAGGAAGGTGGGGGGGGGGGAGTGGGTGTGGGCGCGCCTGCATTCAGATGGGTCTGAATGTGGAAGGACTGGGCATTTGGAGCTATAAATACGTGGCGGCTGTGTTGGGGAGTGCTAACATCTCAGCACAGGCGTGTGCATCAGATACGGAGTTGCAGTGTAAGGGGATCCTTAAGGGTGGGACGTCTGGGCATCAGTGTTTTTGTTGCAGATGTGTGTCCAGGTGCTGTGCATGCTGGCATCTGGCTCAAGGGTCGTAAGAGTTGAGGCTATATATGTCTTGAGGATGTTTGAGGTTAGGTATGTAAGGAGGTGGGGTTCAGTATGGAACAGAGGAGCTTATAGGGTGTATAGAAACATGATGAAGAATATGAGCGTATCTGGGATGTCTGGTACTTAGGTGAGGAGTGTGTGTGTGTGTGTGTGTGTGTGTGTGTGAGTGATGTGGTCTAAGTGGGTGCAGATGTGTGTTTTTGGGGTGTAAGAGGGATCTGTGGGAGGGATGCCGGAATGTGAGGCTGTCTGGGGGAGTGTGTGTTTGGACATGTGAGCTGCGTCTGGGCGCACATGTATGATCAGGTGTTGGGGTATCCGGGGATGGAATGTACTGAATCTGGGGGCAGGTATGTGGGCTCAGGGGTGTGGGTGGAGCTTGGTGTGGTGTATCTAGGCGCAGACATATGTGTCGAACTGTAAGGGTTGTGTTTGCCAGGCCTCCAAGTGGGCTTTTAAACTGTGCCTCTAGAGCTTGCCGCTTTATCTCCTTTCCTAGAAGTTTCTGCCCCTGGGATGGGTGGCCAGGCCCCCCTGGGAGCAAGGTCCCATCCAAGGAGTGGGATCTCACAGCAGGGACTCTAGTCAGGACACCTTCCTTTCATTCTCCCACAGAGGAACCAGAGAGTGCCCTCCTTGACGTCACATAGCATACAGGGTCTGAATGGGCTCCGGCCTGGCTGCATATTGGAAGGACAAGCTAAGTGTGCCCTCAGCAAGCTTAACTGGGCCCCGGCCAGTCATCATTGGGGCAACTTTGGACCCCGTCCCTATGTATCACCAGCCTCAGTCTCCCTATTCTCCATCTGATAAATGGGGAGAGAACTCCCTGCTGACAGAGGTCTCAGTGGAGAAACGTACAGGCTGGATCAGGGTCAGAAGAAGTCAGGAGGGGACAGGCTGGGTGGGACCATTTCTTGGGCTTCTGGGACCCAAACAGGGAGCCAGGAGGGAGAGGGGGTATAATAGGAGGCCTGGGGAGCTCCAGCTGTGGCTGCTGTTGCCGTGGTAACAGTGCAGAAGGAGCTATTTAAAAACGTGGCTGAGAGATTGCTGGAAGCCCAGGCTGCCGGAAACCTGATTTCCGAGAGGCTGGGTGGGAGAAGAGGAAGGAGAGGAGACACCCCAGCAATTCCCAGGGTGGGGCTGGGACATTGCTGGCTCTGGGGACGCGGGGGACCCTCCAGGGCTGTGTATTTGTACAAGCTTCTCTGGGTTCTTCTCTGCTGTTCTCCTGGAGGTCAGTGTCCTCCTGAGTGTTTGGATTTGGAGAGGGAGAAACCTGGAGGTAAGCTAAATAAATGAACTTTGTTGAAAAAAGAATTCTGCTGCCACCTTGAAGGATTTTCCTCTAGGCATGAGGATTTGTTGGGTGAACAAATGACTAGTGAGCGAGTTTGCTGAATAACTTTGTCAAATGAATGAATCGAGGAATGGATACATGCAAGGCTGAATGACTGAATGGGGGGGGGGCCTCAATTCCCTAAGTCCCAACATAGAAGGCTGGTTCCCACTGAGTCTTTTCCCTTCATTCCCCTTCTCAGGAGACCTGGCTGTGGCCAGGGGACAGTGGGCCATGCCGGGGGCAGTGGACGGCCCCAGCTGGAAGCAGGTGGAGGACATTAGGGACATTTACGACTTCCGTGATGTTCTGGGAACGTGAGTCTCAGGGCAGGCAAGCGGGGGTGGAGGGGGAGGCTGTCTGTGAGCGGGGGCGTGGGGTTGGGAAGGTCCTCACTCACGAGTCTGGCTGGCAGGGGAGGCTGCATCCAGGGTGGTACTTCCTCTGGCCAGTCTATCACAGCTTCCTGTCTGCTGTAGTCCGGGCCCTGCGGCGGCCTTGCCATGGCCTAGTCTGGCTCATCTTTTCACTCCTGGCTGACAGTGGGTGGAACAGAGGCTGCTCTTGGCTGCAGCTCTGGGTTCCTGTGAAGGGAACAAAGTAGGGAAGAATGAAGGAGCCAGTCTTTCCACTGTTTGGCCAAGAGCTGGGGATTTCGGCCTAGGCTTAGGAAATGAAGTTGGGCATGGCTCTGTTCTCAGTGGTGGGAATCCAGAAATAACTCAGACCTGATCTCTTCCCCTCAAGTTGATCCTAAACATGTGATCACCCAGCGAACATGACAACAGGTAAAGTCAGGAATGAGGACTTTGTAGAGCCCCGAGTGGTAGCCTCTGACTGGAGCGAGGGACTGAAGGGTGAGTAGAAGTGCACTTGTCAGAGGGAGAAGGGCATTCTGTACCAAGCAAAGGCTGAGAAGCATGGTAACGTGTGGAAAGAGGTAAAGAATGATAGAGCTTCCCCCAGAGGCTGGGGGAAGAGTGGAAGAGGCTGAGAAGAGAGAACAGGTCACGTAAGGCCTTGAAAGCCAAGCTATGGGGGCTGGACTATATCTTCATGGGCCATAGGAAGACATTTCAGATATTTTGGTGGGCTTGCAATTCAGGACAGTCACTCTGGCCAAAGCGTGGAGGGTAATTGGAGAGGGACATGACCAGAAGCCAGCAACGAGGCCATCACAGTCACCAGTTATTCTGAGGATTGAGATTTTGCCAAGAGAGATGCTTTTCTTTGACTTAGACTCATCACAGGCAACGCAAATAGTCTTAGAAAGAATATGCTGGGAAATCCTCCTTAATCAGTGAACGTTAGCGCATGAGTTTGTTCTTTCCTAAGAACTTGTAAAATATTGCTTCTCAAATATCAGTGAGCACACAGAACATCTGAGGATCTTGTTAAAAAAGCAGATCCTGATTTAGTAGGTATGAGGTTAAGGCCTGAGATTCCGCACTTCTAAAGAGTTTCCAGGTGATGCTGATGGTTTTTCAAATTTAGAAAAGGTGTTAAGTAAACCTTGACTGAAATTGACCATAGCAAAACAAGAAATGAATCAATTTTGCATGAATCAAAAAGCCCAGGGCATAAACTTCAGGCATGGCTGAATCCAGGGGCTCACATGGATGGTATCAGGAAATTATCTTTCTCATCAGGAAATTTCTTCGCTCCATGAATCCCCTTTCTTTGCAGGGGGGCCTTCTCAGAGGTAATCCTGGCAGAAGATAGGAGAACTCACAAGCTGGTGGCCATCAAATGCATCGCCAAGAAGGCTCTAGAGGGCAAGGAGGGCAGCATGGAGAACGAGATCGCGGTCTTGCACAAGTGCGTGGGCCACACTGCCTCTGCCTGGGTTGACCCTGCCTTGACTCCTCCTTATTCTCTTCCTTCCTCTGCTTTGGGCCAATCATTTAACCCGTGAGCCTTAAACTGCTCATTTGTAAAATGGGGTAATACTCTTCACTTGGTACGATTGTGGAGCACACTAGAGGTCCCTTTATTTCAAGTGCCTGGTGCAACAGCTAACATGACAGATGTGATTGAAATGCCACTGCTTGTTTACAGTGGCTTAATCTGTTCATTCAGATCTGAACGTCAATCCTTGAATGTACCCTGGATGATCACATCTCTCTCGACTGGTGTTACCGAAGACCTCCCTAAGGCTCCCCGTACATATCAAAGCCACTCAACGAGTTCAAAAATGCCTATCTCATGACTCCCTGACAAAATCAAAACCCCATTGTCTATGATTTGCTCATACGTGCATGCAACCTGCCGCCCTCAGTGGAAAGCTTATGGAGAACCTTCACTTCCATCCTCTCCGCTGAGCTTTCCAACCACCCTGGTGAGGGATGAACTAATCACTTCCACTATTGGGTGGAGGAGGGGGACTGAGGTCCAGAGAGGGTAAGGGATTTGCCTGAGGTCACACAGCAACTTTGTGGCAGAGCCATGGTTTCTGTCAAGCTCAGGTCACCCTCATCGGTTCATTTATCGAGCATTCACTGTGTGCCAGGCCTTGTGCCAAGATTCTTACCTGCATTTTCTCACGTGATCTGCATCCCAGCTCTTTGAGGGAAGTACTGCCACTGGCTTCATGTTATAGATAGGGAAACTGAGGCTGAATATTCAGTGAATAAGTGAGCACTTACTCTACACCAGGTGTAGGGGAGCAGTGGTAACATAAAGCCCCTGGTCTCTGGAGCTGGCATTCTGGTGCGGGAGGCTGACAAACTTATTAACACAGAAACATTTTACTTTAGTTTTTATTTTCGAATTTATTTATTTATTTATTTTTAGGTAGGCTCCATGCCCAGTGTGGAGCCGAATGTGGGGCTTGAACTCACAACCCTGAGGCCAAGGCTTGAGCTGAGATCAAGAGTCAGATGCTTGGGGGCACCTAGGTGGCTCAGTCAGTTAAGCTTCTGACTTTTGTTTTTTTAAGACGTTTATTTATTTTTGAGAGAGAGAGAGAGAGAGAGAGAGTGTGTGTGAGCAGGGCAGGGGCAGAGAGAGAGGGAGATACAGAATCAGAAGCAGGCCCCAGGCTCTGAGCCCAAGTCCAACACTTCCAAGCTTCTGACTCTTGATCTCAGCTCAGGTCATGATCTCACGGTTCGTGAGTTTGAGTCTGCGCCGTCAGCACAGATCCTCTCTCCTTCTCTTTCTGCCCCCTCCCCCTACACATGCTCGCTCGCTCTCTCTCTCAACGTAAATAAATAAAAACAACAACAAAAGAGTCAGTTGCTTAACTGACTGAACCACCCGGGCACCCAGAAACATGTTAAAATCATATATTAATCAGTGCTGTGAGGTAAAAAAAGATTTGCCCCCAAATAGCACATAGGGGAGGCAGGGGAGGCCCAGGTGTGTCCAATGCCAGAGCCCAATGTTCACCTCTCTGTGCTCTCCTACCTTCCGTTACATCATAATAAATCATGGTGAATCAGCTTTTCCTTTGGGGCCCCAGAGCCCCGGTTTGTCCTGCCTAGGTCTGCAGTGGTGGTTCTTCGAGGTGAGTCTAGGAAAGTGGCTGAGCCGTCCTCAGCTCTGAACCACCTCATTTCTCCTTTCAGGATCAAGCACCCCAACATTGTAGCCCTGGATGACATCTATGAGAGTGGGGGCCACCTCTACCTCATCATGCAGCTGTGAGTGGCCTCACCCCTTGCTCACACCTCTCCCTGCCACCCCTCCCTAGCCTCTCTGGCCAGACTGCTCTGTCCCCGGCTGCAGGGTGTCCGGTGGGGAGCTGTTTGACCGCATCGTGGAGAAGGGCTTCTACACGGAGCGCGATGCCAGCCGCCTCATCTTCCAGGTGCTGGATGCCGTCAAGTACCTGCACGACCTGGGCATCGTCCACCGAGATCTCAAGGTGGGGGGTGAGGGTTTGTGGTGCGCGGGGGTGCCGAGTGCGGCCGCCACAAACCCCTCACTGTGATCTGGGGCAACTCTTACCCCGTCCCCGAGGCGCGGCTTCCCATCTGCAAAATGCACCCTGTAAACCCTAAACTGCTTCCTCCCATTCCCGTTCAGACCCTCAAGTGGACACCAAGGTGAATGGTGCTGTTATTTTATCCAAATAGTGTCTCGGGTTTTTTTCGATAATAAAAGTCCCACTTTGCTCTTTGTAGAAAACTTGGATGGGACAGCAAAGCATAAAGAAGGCAGAAGCCCCCGTGAAATCCCACACCTCAGAGACTATGATGGGTTCACATTTTGTAGTACACCTCCTCTAGTCTAGAAGAGCATGGGGGTGAGACAGATCTGGGCTTGAATTCTGTCCCTGCTACTCCCTAACTGTAGGTTCTCAGGCAAGTCACTTTGCCTCTCAAGGCATCAGTTTTCTGACCTGTAAAGTGGGATTACGCAGACTGGCCTGATAGGGATGTGGTAAGGATGAAATGAAATCAAGCACGAGCACAGGATGTGGCACAAAGTAAGTGCTCGAAAATTCTTGAGGGCCTCACGATAGAAATCTGGCTGATAGAAAATTCCCTCTCACATTCCCAAGGCCCTGTCTTTTCTGGTAATGTTAACTCCTTGAGTTTCTTGTGCCTCCACCCATGATGGCAGCCGTGAAGCCACAGTGGCTTTTAGGGTGCTCACTGTCTCTGAGGCGGTGCTTGGAGGAGCAGAAGGTTCTGCCGGCCTCTCGTCATCTCTGCCTCTTCCTTCCCCTCCACCTTCCAAGCCAGAGAATCTGCTGTACTATAGCCTGGATGAAGATTCCAAGATCATGATCTCCGACTTTGGCCTCTCCAAGATGGAGGACCCTGGCAGTGTGCTCTCCACAGCCTGCGGGACCCCAGGATATGTGGGTATGGAGCACCCTGGGCGGGGGCCACGGATAGGAGAGGAGTCAGAAGTTGCAGGGCAGAGATCCGCCACCACCACGTCTCCTCCCTTCCATAGCTCCTGAGGTCCTGGCCCAGAAGCCCTACAGCAAGGCAGTGGATTGCTGGTCCATCGGGGTCATTGCCTACATTCTGTGAGTAGGGGCTCGGCCACTGGGACATGTGGCTCTAGCATTCTCTTCTCCCCTACTCCGCCCTCTTTCTGCTCTCTGCTATTTCTTCCTTCCTGCCATCCAAGTTTATACCTACCTATTAATGACTAATATTACTGCATTCAACACATACTATGTCTCTGGCACTGTGCTAAGTACTGGGGATTCAGCAGAGAACAAAACAAAGTGCCTGCCCTCAGGGAGCGAAAACTCTAGTACGGTAGACAGACAATAAACAAGTAAATAAATCTATGAAGTGTCAGGTGGTATAAAATACTATGAAGAAAAACCAAGCAGGGTTAGGGAGATGGGGATGGATGCCATTTTAGGTAAGGAGGTCAGGAAAGACCTTTCTTAGGCCATCTCCTGGATGAAGTGAGGGAGCCAGACATTTGAGGTGTGGGGGAAGAATGATTTAGCAGAGGGAACAGCAAACGCAAGGCCCTGAGGAAGGAAAGATGGTAGCAAACTAAGAAGCAGAAAGGCCAGTGTAGCTGGACAGGAGTGAACAAGGCAGAGAGGGGCAGATTCCCCCTCTTTGTAAAAGGGGGAACTGCTTCCTCTGGGTGTTGCCTGACCCCTGAAACTACCTCAAAGCTCCATATTAGAGCCAATGGGTACACTGAAAAGTGGAAATGAGGATGAGTTTCTCCCTGCGCAGGCTCTGCGGTTACCCCCCCTTCTATGACGAGAATGATGCCAAACTCTTTGAACAGATTTTGAAGGCCGAGTACGAATTTGACTCTCCTTACTGGGACGACATCTCTGACTCTGGTATTTGACGCTTTGCCTTCTTCCCCTGGGCCCTACCCTCTGGCCAGACTCCCCAGCCTCCAACTAAGAGCTGTCTTCGAGACCAGACACCTCACCCCAGGTGCTTCCCTCTGCCTGGCCCCCAGGCTGAGAAACTTGTAGGCATTCATTCATTCAGTCTTCAAAACTAGTATTTTTGAAAATATCTCCCCCATTGACTTCATTACGCCTGAAACATCACCATAGAAGTTTTCATGTGTCTCTTTGTGCCTCCTGTGAGGAAGCAAAACTGTGAAGCCATTATCAGTCACTTACACATCTTACACATCAGTGTGAATACAGTGAGCAGAATCTTCTTTCAGAGCAAGTTTTTCTTAAGGGAAAAAGGAGAGAGCTGGAAGGCTGGGGTGGGGGGAGCTTAGACACTAAGAGTACAGGTGGGATCGGGTGTACATGTACAGATCTGGCCTCTGGTCTTGCTCACATGCCAGGCCAGACCCAAGGGGGTGGGTTTTGTCTTGGGGGTACCCACAGGTACCATCACGCTATTTCTCTTCGCTCTTGTCTTGGGGGTTCAGCCAAAGACTTCATCCGGCACTTGATGGAGAAGGATCCAGAAAAGAGGTTCACCTGTGAGCAGGCCTTGCAGCACCCATGGTGAGAGCTCTCACAAGCTGCAGGTTGGGGTGGGGTCTGGGGCCCCCAAACCTGCCTTGGCCTTCATGGACAACCCTTCATACACCCCTGTCCTAGGATTGCAGGAGATACGGCTCTAGATAAGAATATTCACCAGTCCGTGAGCGAACAGATCAAGAAGAATTTTGCCAAGAGCAAGTGGAAGGTGAGCCCATGTCCCTAGTTCTGGGTCCCAGCCTCCCCAGACCTCCTCTCCACCTCTCTCTCCAGGCCTCAGCTCACAAAGCACCTAGCACCAAGTCACAGTAACTGTTCAGGGAGGCTTACTGAAGAACATCATTCATTCATGCATTCATTCATTCAACACTCCCTGACACTTGCTCTATCTCAGTGAGTATAGAGGGACTCTATACTCCTGATTGTCAAGTCTAGAGGGAGAACAGTATAATTCTTTTTTAAAAATGTTTATTTATTTTGAGAGAGACTGAGAGTGGGAGAAGGGGGCGGCGGGGAGAGAGAATCCCAAGCAGGCTCCATGCTCAGTGTGGAGCCCGACTTGGGGCAAGATCCCACAAATGAGGAGATCATGACCTGAGCTGACATCAAGAGCTGGATGCTTAACTGACTGCACCACCCTGGAACAGTAGAATTCTTAGAGACATCTACTCCGATCTACGGGGTCCTGGAAGGGGACATATGGGCATCTGATGGCCTGATAGACCTGTCAGACCTGACAGCTGAGTAGGAACTAGCCAGGTACAGCAGAATAATGTCTGAGGCAGAGGGAACCAGTATGCAGAAGTCCAGGGGCAAGAGCCCAGACTGGAGCAGAGCAAGTAGAGGCCTCGAGTGCCGCAGGGGAGAACTCACTCAGTCCTGGGAATACTGAGGAGCCCCAGAAGGGCTTTCAGCAGTAAGCTGCCCTCTACAAAGGGCTCTCAGGATGCAGAGTCCATACCCGTCTAAGAGACCCCCTTTCGCGGCTGTGGCAGAGATGTGTGCAGGACATGGTGAGGGCTTGGACCGGAGAACAGTGGATGGCTTGGGAGTCCTTTAGGAAGTAGAATTGACAAGAAGTGATGGTAGAACAGATGTCAAAGGCTGGCCCAAGATTTTCGTTGGGGGGAAAAAGGTGAGTGGTGATACTCTTACTGAGATGGGGATGCCGGGGGCACACACTGGTCTTGGGGTAGAGGACTGTGGTTTTGGACATGGTGATTACGAAGGATGTGTGGGACACCTTTGTAGATACGTTGAATAGAGAGTGATACACACACTGGGGTATGTCTGTGCTTCTGTTTTCTCCTTTGGCAGTGATGATGCTAATAGTACCCACCTCAAAGACCTTTGTGAAGATTAAATGAGCTGCCAAATAAAGTGCCTAGAACAGTGCCTGACACATAATGCTATATTAAGTGTTTGCTATGATGTGAATATGAACTCATACATAAAGGGTTATATATACTTGTTACTTGTTCATATATACACTATATATATACATGCATGTACATGTGTGTAAATATATAATGGAGCTGAATATAATTTAATAAAGCCTTGTAGAGGTTTCAGGGAGTTTTAGGGGATCGACCAATAACACCTGAATGAAAATGACAAAACCATCCCAAGAATTTTACCACCAGACACTGACTGTCCCGCTCTCAAAAGCCCCTTCTTCCCCTTCTCCCCACAGCAAGCCTTCAATGCCACGGCCGTGGTGCGGCACATGAGGAAGCTACAGCTGGGCACCAGCCAGGAGGGGCAGGGACCGACGGCGAGCCATGGGGAGCTGCTGACACCAGCAGCTGGGGGTGAGGACCCGTGCTCTGTGGGAAGGGCAGGAGTGGGAAGAGGCCTCCAAGCTGGAGGGGAGGGTCTGCTCCTCTGACCAAATTTGTTCTCCCTCCCCATGTAGGACCAGCGTCTGGCTGCTGCTGTCGAGACGGCTGTGTGGAGCCCGGCCCGGAAATGTCCCCTCCTTTGCCCCCCCAGCTCTAGGGCTCAGATGCAGGGTCCAGATCCTTTGTGTGGGAGGAGATGGGGCAGTCTGCTCCCCTTCCCTCCCTGAATTGGAGTTATCCGGCCCCACCACCTCCCCACCCCTTCCCCTATCACTCCACTGCATTTTCCATACAAATGATTCTATTTTATTGTTCTTTCTTGTAATAAAGGGAAGAGATAAAAACACAGTAGCTCTGTTTCAAAGATAACCTCCACCCCACAGTGCTGTGCCAACTGCTTAATTTGAGGGTCCCTGGCCCCTGAGGTAGCTGCAAGAAGCCCCCTTCCTAACATGAGACTGGATGGGGAAGCGAAGTGGGGAAAGGTATTTGGGGAATTCCTTTGTCCAGTGCCCCCCACCTAGCCTTCTGGGCCTGCAGATCTCCTGCGCTTTGCTGGTGGCTCCTGAGCTCGGTGGGGTTGGCGCAGGTCAGCACTGAACAGCACCTGGGGACAGCAGGGGAGGACACTGTGTGGGTTCAAGGTACACGGGGTCAGGGCTGGTGGGGCCGGTGGCAGTGTGGAGAGAGGTATATGGGGAGCAGGGCCAGGGTAAGGAACATCCACTAGGGTCAGGACTGGGGTGGGCGAAGAGTCCGGGAGCATCACCGGAAATGGCAGTGGTGGTGGAAGGGTCTACCGGGTCAGGACTGGGGGAGGAGTCCTAGGGGGTCTGGGCTGGAGGAGGAGAGGAAGCCTCGGTACACTTACTGCTTGGGCCCAGCCAGCATAACGTCCCCACAGGCTCCGGAAAAAGCTTCCTATGCCAGAAGGAAAAGGTGAAATTAACTGGCCCTCCCACTCGTTCCCTATCCACAGGAGCGGGATTTTACGGAGACGTGTGAAAAGGTTCCACCACCTCAGCCCACTGCCAGCCCCAGCATCCCACTCTCTCCTTACCCAGTTCCTTGTTAGCCTGGGGGCTTGGACCCTTGGCCTGGGACACAGTGGGGTGCCAGCTGTAGTCACGCTGGGCAATCTGCCACATGTGGGTATCCACAGGCACGGCCTGGGGCTTGTCTAGGGCCATCAGGCAGATGCAGTCAGCTACCTTTGAGAGACAGAGCGAGCCACAGAGCAGGAATGGCAGGATCCAACCAGCATCCCACTTCTGGCCCCAAAGTTGGCTGCTTCCTCCTCCACTCTCCTTTTCATACTTTTAAAAATAGGTACGATTAGGGGCACCTGGCTGGCTCACTTGGTTGAGCATCTGACTTTGCTCAGGTCATGATCTCGCAGTTCATGAGTTTGAAACCCGCACTGGGCTCTGTGCTGACAGCGTGGAGCCTGGAGCCTGCTTCAGATTCTGTGTCTCCCTCTCTCTCTGCCCCTCTGCAGCTCATGCTTTGTCTCTGTCTCTCTCAAAAATAAACATTAAAAAAAAATTTTTTTTTAAATAGGTATGATGAGAGTGCCGTTGTGTAAACATCTACGTGGGCCAGGTTCTCATCATCACCTGGGAAGAAGGCAGTAACTATATCCAGTCTGCAGACAAAAAACTGAAGTTCAGAAAGATGAAGTGACTTGGCCAAGGTTACATGGCTAGGAAGAGGCAGAACCAAGCTTTAATGATAGCCTGAAGTTCTTTAAAGAAACCTTAAAGCAGTAAATGCTAAATTCCCAATCATCTTACTGCTAGGTAACCCTGTTAATAACATCAAACAAAAAGATTTATACGTACGTAGAATTTCAAGGTAAAAACAACATGAAAAGGAGAAACACTTTCCCATTTGTCCTCCCAAATGTAACAGCTACTAAGCTTCCTATGATTCCTTCTGGAAGATTTTGCATACATACAGCAGTGTATATGTGCATTGGAACAAACGGCCTTTCTAAAAAATGCACGCAAGGGACAATGTCATTTTTTAAAAGGTCTATTTTTTTTTTTTTTTTTTTAAGCACTCTCTATACCTAACGTGGGGCTTGCGCTCACGACTCTCAGATCAAGAGCTGTATGCTCTTCCGACTGAGCCAGCCAGGTGCCCTGGGACAATGTCCTTTATGTTCTTTCCACACTTTGCATTTTCTCTAATAAAACATCTGCTTGTATCCTTTCTCCTTTTTCCTCTGCCTCCAGAAGCCAAGCATGTACCCAGCTCTCAGGCCTGCCTTGTCTCCTTCTCTGCTACTCTCGGCATGGTGGCGGGGGGGGTAGCTCCTGTCCCCCTGGGACCTTACCTTGGTGCCCACCCCGGGCAAGGCGCAGAGGGCTTTGTGGGCCTCCTCGTAGGGGGCCTTGTGCAGCTGCTGCAGCCAGGACAGCCCGCCCTGTTCTTCTAGGATGGCTCGGGCACTGGCACTCACGTAGCGGGCACGGTACCCCAGGCCCAGCTTCCTGAGCTGAGCCTCCACCTCCGGCCCTGTGGGGGAGGGGGAAGGAGAGCAGGGGTCAGGCATTCGCAAATCCTTCCTGTCTTCAGGCTAGTGTGTGAGGCCTCTGCCCCAAAGGACTGCTTTCCCTAAGCACCTCTCTCCTATCTCATCACCCTCTGGGAGACCCCAGGAGACTTGCATGTGCAAAAGAAAAGGCTAAAGCCTGAGTTGGCTCCTCTGCAAATGTCTTCTGAGCACCTACTACGCAGTGTTGGTCACTGGAGCAGGGACTGGAAGCGCTTGCTGCCCTGGAGGAACTTGCCAGTTATCCTTTCCAAAGTGCGTTCACATTCACGATCTAAATTAATGATCGTAATAACAACAACAGCTTCCATCATCAAGTGCTGGGTATCGTGCATGGGCAAAGTGCCTTAGGCATGCTTCTCAAAGACCCTGACAACAGTACGGCTATTTCCCCCATTTTACAGATGGAGAAAATAAGAGCTTAGAAGACGTGAATAACTTGCTCAAGAAAGGACATGGTGGAGATGGGGTCTCGCACCAGGTCTGGGAAACCAATGCCTGTGCTCTTAGCCCATGGAGCGCCCTGCCTCACAACTGCTCTCCTCACCACTCAAACCCTTCTGGCTAGAAACTGCTATTCCCATCATACAAACCAGAGAAGCTTCGATAGGTAAATGAATTCTTTTGGTCTTAGGGCTACTAAGCTCGGAGCTGAGACTCCAGGCTGGGTTTCTCCCCCCCCCCCGCCCCCCGCAATACTGGGTTTCTAAGCACCAAAAACTTTCTCTTTTCTCTAGGTATCCTGTCTCCTTGCCATGCTAGGCCCAAGCGCTTCTCCGAACTTTATTTTCACATCTGCCAACTGTTATACTTGCCTCTGTAAAATACTTGCCTTACAAGGCTGCTATAAAGAACGTAGATGTTCTTGGATGCAAAATTGTTGGGTTCACCATAAACACAGCAACTTTTAATTTTCTGCATACTTCCTGTATGTCAAACACCGCGCTAGGTGCTGTATGTGTATTTCTTTACCTAGCCCTTGTGGCAACTCTGTTATAGGCAAGTGCCATTATTATCCCATTCCACAGATGAAGAAACTGAAACACAGAGTGACTAAATAATGTGCTCCAGGTCATACAGCTAGCCGTCAAGTGCCAAAAGAATTCAGACGTAGGCGGTCTCCAGAAGAGTGCTCTTAACCCCACACTACTGTATACTACATAGGTTTTGACGTTTTCTATGAAGCACTGAACCTTTAGGGTAAAAAGCACAGGCCAGTGAGGTGCTGACGTTTCAGGAACAGACAGGGAGTATGAAGCGGGGCTGACGAGACCAGGCAAGATGGTTCTGGACAAGGGCGGCGTTTGGGAGGGCAGGTAGCTTTGAGATGGGAGATGGGGACCCGGGGAGAACTGAGCAGACCCTGAAAGCTACCGGAGGGTCCGAGCCCAGGGCCCCACCTGCTCACCAGCCAGGGCCTGCAGGCTGGGGAAGCCATGGTAGGTGACATCATCAAGCTGGACGAGCCGAGGTCCCAAGGCCTGGCAGAGGCGCTCTACCATGCCGGTTATGCGAGCAATGTTGTTGTTGGAGGAACAGATGAAGGAGAAAAGGCACTCGACGGGGTCCTGTTGCAGAAGTCGCACACCTGGAGACCAGAAAGGTAGGCGGTAGGATACAGGCCCGCTGTCAGGAGTGGCGTCTTCCCACCCTCAGATCCGAGGCACTGAACATGTAGGAGGATCTCGGGGAATGAGGGACAGGATGTTAGAGAAAGCAACACGAGAGCTCTCGTTCCTCACAGGTCGGGGTTATCCTTACGTTCCGGGGATAAAGGAGCCACCGTGTAAAGACAATGAGCGTGGGGATTTGTGTCCATTTTGTTGACACAGCAGATGCTCTGCAAATATTTACAAAATGAATGAGGTCACCTGCCCCAGGTCACACAGCCAGGATCTGGCTCAATATCCTGTCACCACACTATCGTAATCAGCAAAGCAACGACAGTAATGATAACCGCTATGCATCAGGCACTATTCTAAGCAAAACTTTACATGTATTAACTCCTTTAATCCTCATAAAATCCTACGAGGTGGAATATAATCCCCATTTTACAGATGGTGAAACTGCGTAATTTAACCAAATTACAGAACTCCAACCCCCGCCCCAATCCTTGTGCTCACCTTGGAATTTCTGAGCCACCTCTTGAAAGTGGGGGTCCACGGAACTCCAGTGGTGATACAGTTGAGGCAGGCTGACATCCAACTGGAAGTACTGGTGCACAGTCTTCAACTCTTGGGGTGTGGGTCTGCCGACCCAAGCCTTGTCCCCTCGGTACACAGTACAGTAGAGCTGCTCCTCGGTCTGGGTCAGGGTCCACACCTGGTTCGCCAGCACGCCAGTCCAGTGCGCGGGGCTTTGCTCCCTCCACCTGAGCCCCCAGGCACACAGCAGCTCTGGTAGCCAGTTCTCCTTCTTGCACCCTTTGGGGCCCTCCCGCCCTACAACAGCTCCATACACAAAACTGACTTAGGAAATGCAAAGTCGTTTGATCCTCACAGCACCGCACTGGCCTTTATTTGTTTTTAACATTTTTTCAATGTTTATTTATATTTGAGAGAGAGGGAGACACAGAATCTGAAGCAGCTCCAGGCTCTGAGCTGTCAGCACGGAGCCCGACTCCGGGCTCGAACTCATGGACCGTGAGATCATAATCTGAGCCGAAGTCGGACGCTTAACCGACTGAGCCACCCAGGCGCCCCTTTTTGTTTTTTAAGCTTATTTATTTTGAGAGCGAGCGTGTGTCTGTGTGTGTGCGTGTGTGTGCGCGCGCGCGGGGAAGGGGCAGAGAAGGGGGCAGGGGGGAGAATCCCAAGCAGGCCCCACGCTGTCAGCGCAGAGCGCCGGCGCCCCCGCTGCACTGGCTTTTTACCTCCGCTTTAGAAAGGAGGTAAACAGGCTCACCACCCGCTTCTGTTCCCTCTTCTGCACCCCGAGGTTTCTTCCGTCACCCCCAACATTCCTTTACACTCCAGACCTGCAGTGTTGAGGGGCCAACAGTCAGGGTCACTCACCGGAAGGACTGTCCGGAAGACAGAACCAGATCCAGGCGCAGTTCCGAGCGTGGACAGGGGAGGGAGGCCCACAGGCCCGGCGACGAGGCTAGAGTACGGTGGCCCATGCTCCAGAGCAGAAAGGACCGGGCCGACCCCTCCACGCCAGGCCCCGCCCATAACGGCCCCGCCCACTCAGTACCAGCTCAGCGCCGACTGATGACCATGCGCACGCAGAGACAGCACTCCCGAAGACCTCGCCCACCAAGCCCTAGCCTCTTAAGGTTTATTGAAGGCCCGCCCAGTTTCATTTAATTCCTCCACTCCCTGCAGGCCCCGCCCCTTACAGGCCCCCAGGGCCCCAACCCTCCAGACCTTCCCCGTTACAAATCCTCTCCCCCGCCACGCCTCCGGCGCGCACCGCTGTCCTCAGAGCTGCCGCGACTTCGGCGAGCGCGCGCAAACGCACTCTTCCGGCTTCTCCCGCGAGCCGACCTGGCTCTCACCGGAAGTAGGACTCAAGCCCGGCTTATTGGACCCGGAGGTGGCCAATCCGCGCAGAGGAGGCACCACTGAGAACAGGGTGCGACGGCGGGTGGGCGGGTCTCTCCGAGGCGCCGCGGCGGTTGGCGCGCGCTGGGTTGTCTGCACTCGGCACGCCAGCGTGTCCAATCCCCGCGCCCCGCCGAGCGGTCGGAGAATGCGCCCTCAGGCCCCGGTCCTCCCTGCCAGATCTCCTCGGAGCCTGGGGTTCCTCACCGCTTGCCGGCCCGCGAGCCAGCTCCTGTCCCCCACCGCCCTCAGGGAGCCGTTCTCCTCCGAGCCTCTCCAGTCAGATACTCGCCCTCTTGACCGAGAAGTGGAGCCGAACACAGCTCGGGCCCCTCCGAGCGCCCGTGAGGCGTCTCCACAGCGTCCGCCGCCTGAGGATTCTGTCTGCGCGCTCGCCCGCCGAGCTGCTCCCCTCCGAGGCCTCACCGAGCCTCGACTCCGTAGTCCGGCCTCTTCGCCGAGTTCCCTCCGTCAGAGGCCTGCGCCCTCCCCTGCGGCGCCCCGCGCTGCCCAGCCGCGCCCCTGCCTCAGGGCGTTCCGCAAACCGCGCCCCGGCATCTGGGGCCCCCGGGCAGCGCGTCCGCCGCCTCCGGTTTCTCGGGCGGGCCGCCTGCGCCCGAGACAGATGAATTCGGCAATGTCCTCCCCTCGGGGGGGAGACCATACGCAGGGACCTCGGAGACAGGAACTTTATCTGGGCCCCCTTTCACTTCTAGCGCTGTGATTTGGGGTTGCCGTGTCTGGTTGAGTAGGCTGCAGGGTCCTTAAGGGCAAGATGTGTGACCCACCCAGAGTACCTAGTAGGGAGCATCGTGAGCATGGTTATCATCAAATGCGATTTTTGTCGGTTCCGCTCCTCAGTAGCCGCAAGGCGCTGGGCAGCTGCCTCCTGCGGCTGGCTCATCTCCAGGCCAGCCGGCCCACAGGTGCCCCGCACTTGGCGAGCGTCCCTGCAATAACTGAGTCGGTAACGGAGATGCCAAGGTTAGGAATGAACGACGAGCAGTCCTCTACACGCCTGCTCTGTCCCCAGTTCAGCGGGGGAAGATCGCAGCTGTAGTGACTCCGAAGCGCTTGGGACTATCCTACTGGCAAAGGACTTGAAGCCTCTGAAGTTCATGAAGGGGCAGTAGACTCTTTTTCCAGCCCTTGGTTCTGCATCGCGGTTAAAGGGCCAGCTTTGCAGACAGAGAGAGCCGAGTTCCAGTCCTAGCTCTGTGACTTCCTAACTTGTGGGAACGTAGGCAAGTTACACAACTTTTCGGAGCCTCAGTGTCTTTGTGGAGATAACCACCCGATTACTAACTTTCCCTATAGTTTTTGCAAGCATTACATACCATGGTGTATCTGTAAGTGCTTAGAAAAAGGCTTGCCACCCGGTGAGTGTCTGGGAAACGGGAGCCATCATATTATCTTCGCTGTCCTCTTACAAACGCAGCATGCAGAGCAACCAGCAACCTCTTGAACCAATCATTTACCATCCCTGAGGGACTGAACTTCCCTTTTTATCCTTTTGCCCTGGCAGAAGGCAAGAACCCAAGAATTCCAAAGAGACTATTTATTTTCTAAGAATCAATATATTTTCTTCCTTTGAAATAAATACAAACCAGTTTGAAAGGTGGGGGCATCTATGGGAAAAAGGGACGTGGGGACAAGCCCCAGTCTTTTTTAGTACCAAATGACTCTGGCGCGACGCGGAAACGCAGTTACAAATGAGAATAATTTAAATTCTCCACTAATTACAGTATTTACAACAGCAGGGGAGGGGGGTCACCTAGTGCCCCTCTTCCGGGCTGGACAGACATCAATCCCACTGCTAGGCTGGGCAGATGCCCGCTCACCTCACCACCTGCAAGGGCCTCAGGCCTCTTGGCAGTTAGATTCCCCCGGCGCGAGCAGAGCAGAGCAGAGCAGACACAGGTGGTGGGATGGCCTGTTTTATGCAGTGTCCTAACCGTGGCCCACCACCCTGCACTACAACGCTGTGAGGTCTCCGGAGCTCTCTGGCCAGTGGGACCTCCCCTCTCCTTGCGCAGAGCCGCCATGGGCCCTTGGAGTGTTCTGTACAGTCCAGCTGCACTCAGGGCGGGAGGGACCTCCCCCACCCAGCTTCCCCTGAGACTGGCCCCAAGACCAGGAATGAGTCAGTGCAGAGGCCGGTGCCACTCCAGGACAGTGAGCCAAGGGGGAGGAGAGAGGTGGCAGGGCACTGTAGGCTGGGCTGCGCTGGGCACCATCAGTCACTATCACTGGTCTCGCTGCTCTGCTCGCCCTGCACCTTGCTGCGGTGCTGCAGAGCCCTGTGGTAGGCAATCTGCACGGATTTGCGGATGTTGGACTTGCGGCCCTCCAGCATCTTTTCCTTGTCGAGGTCCTGGTTCACGCCCAGAGGAACCAGCTTAGTCCTCGGCAGCCACTGCCTGTAGGATGAGGCGAGGATCACGTAAGTCATCTCTGGGAAAGCAACAAGCATCAGCCTTCATCGCTCCTTCACTCATTCGAACTCGCCTCCTGAGCGCCCGCTCTGGGCCAGGTTCGGGTGGGCAATGGGGCTACAGAGTCTACGAGAAACAGTCCCTGCCCTCAAGGAATTGCTCATAGTCTAGTGACGAAAGGCATCCCGTCAACAGTCACGTTACGGGGTAACCGCAGGGTATCTAGGAGTGCAGAAGGGGCCATGACCTCATGTGAAACAGGTGCCCCGCCCCAAAGGCTTCAGGTGGACTTTACTGACAGTAAATATCCGCCGCAGACAATACGCACGCACAGGAAGCGCGGCATTACGCACACGCGCCGGGACAGACTCAGAGCCTGAGTGTTTAGGCCTGTTTTGTCCTCATCTTGTCTCCACAGAGGCAGAGGGGGGAGAACGAGGTCTAGAAGCCACCTGATTCTGGGTGGGGAGCACATCTGTCACGGTCACTGATGGCCGTCTGGCCTCTAGCTACAGCCGTTTGTCAGCTGTTGCCCACTCAGTCTCAGACTCATGGTCAACACAACCCTTCTGCTCAAAGATCTCCGCCCCGCCCCCGCTGACCCGTGCCGGCCCAGTCTGTGTGTCGCTGGAGTTTCCTGGCAGCCTGCCCGCATACCCAGGGTTGCATCTGCGGCTGTATGAGTCACACCAACTGCTCCCCTCCTCCCTTACCAGGTTCGCTTGTTGTCAAAGAAGAGGACGAGGTAGAGATGCTCACGGGCTTCCTGGGTCATCTGTTCCCCAAGTTTCAGCACCTCCAGGGGGGGCACAGGGATGGGAACCCCATGATGGAACATGCCTTCCCGGGGCATCTTTGGATCAATTATCTGAGGGTGTAATAAGACCTTTGTTTGGTTCAGTTCCCTTCTTCCCTGAGACTGACTCTGTACAAGAATTGGGAAACTACCTCTGCTGTTGGGACAGAGAAAGGTTATCATCCCACAAGGCTGCTTTGCTGACCCTTGGCTTCTCATGATGAAATATTTCAGACCCCAAGATACAAAGGGAAGGAAAAGGGAGAGATGGAAAAACTAACCAGGAACTTCTTAAGTGTCTGTCTGCCAAAGACCCTTGTTCTCCACAGCTCAGCAGAGAGTAAGTAAAGTCTGCTAACTGTGTCTACATCTGGGGTTGGGAGGTAAGGGGTACGATAGGAAGAGGGGAAGCCTACCAGAGCTGGGTATGATGGATACCCTCGGCACTTGGCCCACACCAGGTCCAGAGCATCCAGGGGGGAGTCCTCATCTTCTGACAGCCAGCCAGCTCCGCGTCCCAGACTCTTCCTCACCACTTCACAGGAATGGGAGAGAGGGGGCAGGTCAGCAGCCAGGGGGCTGGCAAGGCCCTGACACTGGGCCGCCGGCATCCCTGACTCTGGGTGAGGGTACTTACTGCTGTGGCCCACGCCGCGGCCAGTGCCCACGGAGTAGGCCTCGTTCTCAGTGCCTGAGGTATCCTCACTGCTGTCTTCCGGGAACGTGCCCCGAGAGAAGGAGGGCTTGCCCCGGCCTTGCTTTGAGGGCGTTGTGCTGTGGACAAGACAAGAACTCCACTTAAAGGAGGCGTGTAGTGGGTTAATGACATAGTAGTTGTCTTCTCTTTAAACTCCCAGGTCTAAGAATTTTGGAAAGCTGAAGCTACTTGAAAAATTTCAAACTCAAATACTCTCGGGGCCTTGGCAGGAGAGTGACTGACATGGGCTGGATTTAACAGTGGTGGTGAGGAGTGCATTCCCTGGCTAGATTTGCCAGATCGGATTTTTACAGAGAATACGGACATTAGGAATTTTATGTGGCAGTACTGGATTCATTTTTTTTTTTTTTTTTTTAAACACCATGCTGGCCAAACAAAATACGTCTGCAGGCCAAATCCAGGCCACAAGGCATCAGTTTATGCCCTCTGCTCTACAACATCAGCTTAACCCAGGATGGTTCCCACTATTCCATTATGGTGACACTCTTAGGTATGCCATTTATTTTGCAAAGAATCTTGGGTTTGAGCCATTTTAATCTAGGCTGAGGTGGCTGCCACCCTATTTCCCATAGGGAAACTTCGAAGGGCATCCCGGAGGCAGGCCTTGATCTGGAGGGCTGGTACCTGGTTCGGTCTGAGGCAGCGCTGCTGCTGCTACTGCTGCTAGACTCGGAGTCGGAGCTGCTCCGGGGAAGGCTGCAGTCATTACGATATACCAAGAAACTCTTCTTCACTGGCTGATTTCCACCGCTGAAGCCATTAGCTGGTAAGTCTTGGTTGGGGGGAGGGGG